AACAAACAACTTTATTGCAGCATATTTTACATATCATATAATTTGCCCACTTCAAATGTCCAATTTAGTAGTTGTTTGTGAATTTGCCGAGTTATGCACATATTGTCATTAATCAGTTTTAGAAAATTTTTATAACCCTAATAATATCCCTGTACCTATTAACTACTAATCCCTGTTCTAACCCCTGCACCAGATAACCACTAATCTGCTGTCTGCATAGATCTGCCAGCTCTAGACATTTCTCATAAATGGAATCATCCAGTATGTAGTCTCTTGTGTGTTTTTTTTTTCACTTAGTGTAATGTTTTGGGGTTCATCCATGCTATAGTATAAACCACTACTTCATTTTTTATGGCTAAATAGTATTCCATTGTTTATCCATCCATCAGTTGATGGACATTTGGTAGTTTCTAATTTGGGGCCATTATGAATAATTCTAGCAACCCTATCATAAAGTAAAATCCTTCAACTCTCCTACAACACTATTTCTGTTCTGCCCTACTTTATTTTCCCCAGCTTACCACATGGTTTGCTTATTTCTCTTGTGTATTGTTTATCTTCTTCACTAGAATCTAAGATCCACAAAGACAGAGATTTTTGGCTCACATTGATCACCATTGTATATAAATGACCTAGCACTGTGTCTGATATATAGTAAGCAATCAGTAAACATTTGCTAAATCAATAAAGGAACAAGTGAATGGATGAATTGGATGTTTACTATACACTATGCTGAAAATACTATATGAAAGACTTGGAAGCTAAGTAACATGGCATTAAACAACAAATGAGTCAACAACGAGATCAAGGAAGAAATCAAAAGGTTCTGGGAAACAAATGAAAATGAGAACACAACAATCCAAAATATATGGAACACAGGGAGGACAATCCTAAGAGGGAAATTCATAGCATTACAGGCCTGTCTTGAAAAAATAAAAATAAAAAGGTCAAATAAACAATCTAACTTTACACTTAAAGGTACTGGGGGCGGGGAGCCCAAAATCATTAGAAGGAAGGAAATAATAAAGATTAAAATAATAAAAGAGTAGAAATAAACAAAACTAAATAATGATTCAAAAGATCAGTGACTCCAAGACTGGTTCTTTGACAATATAAACAAGATTGATAGTCCTTTAACCAGACTCATCAAGAAAAGAAGAGAGAGGAACCAAATAAATAAAATAAAAAGTGAAAGAGAAAATAAAACTAACACCAAAGAACTACAAATGATTGTAAGAAAATATTATGAACAACTATATGCCAACAAACTGGACAACCTGGATGAAATGGAAAAACTCCTAGAAACATGCAATCTTCCAAAACTAAGTCAGGAAGAATCAGAGAATCTGAATAAACAGATTACACCTAGTGAAATGGAAGTACTAATAAAAAAACTTGCAAAAAACAAAAGCCCTGGATGGATGGCTTCACAGGTGAGTTTTGCTGAAAATTCTGGGAAGAACTGACACCTCTCCTCAAGCTATTTCCAAAATTCAAGAGGAGGGAAGGCTCCCAAGCTCATATGATGAGGCCAGCATTATCCTAATTCCAAAACCAGATAAAGACACTACAAAAAAAGAAAATGATAGGCCAGTGTCCCTGATGAACATAGATGCTAAAATCCTCAACAAAACATTAGCAAACTGAGTAGTACAGCAATACATCAAGATCATACACCATGATAAGTGGGATTTATTCTGGGAATGCAAGATTGGTACAACATTAACAAATCAGTAAATATGATTCACCATATAAACAAAATGAAGGATAAAACACACATGATCATAGCAATTGATGCAGAAAAAACATTTGATAAAATCCAGCATCACTTCTGATAAGAACTCTCGGCAAAGTGGGATTAGAGGGAAAATACCTAAATGTAATAAAAAGCATAATAATATTACAAACCCATTGCCAGCATCATACTCAATGGGCAAAAACTACAAGTGTTCCCTTTAAGATCAGGAACAAGATAGGAATGTCCACACCTCTGCTATTCATCACAGTACAGGATGTCCTAGCCATAGCAAAGAGACAAGAAGGAGAAATAAAAAGCATCCAAACTGGAAAGAAAGAAGTAAAACTGTCTTATTTGCAGATGACATGATACTGTATATAAGGAACCTCAAAGATTCCACCAATAAACTATTAGAACTGGTAAATGAATTCAGCCAAGTAGCAGAATACAAAATTAATATCCAGAAGTCAGTTGCATTCTTATATGCCAAAAACAAACTAATAGAAAGGGAAATTAAGAAAACAATCCCATTCACAATTGCTTCAAAAAGAATAAAATACTGAGGAATAACCTAACCAAAAGTGTAAAAGACCTGAAAAATATTATAAGACGCTGAAGAAGGAAATCGAGGAAGATACAAATAAGTGGAAGCACGTGCTGTATTCATGGATAGGAAGAATTAACATCATTAAAATGTCCATATTATCCAAAGCAACATATAGATTCAGTGCAATTCCTATCAAGATTACAATGACATATTTCACAGAACTAGAACAAATATTTCAAAAATTTATATGGAACCACAAAAGGCCCCACATGGCAACAGAGACCTTGAGAAAGAAGAACAAAGTTGGAGGAATCACGTTGCCTAATACCAAACTATGCTATAAGGCCATAGTAATAAAAAATAGCATGATTCTGGCATAAAACAGACACATAGATCAATGGAACAGAATAGAAAGCCCAGAAATACAATCAATGGAATGGAATAGAGAGCCCAGAAATAAACCCATACCTTTATAGTCAATTAATATTTGACAGAGGAAGCAAGCACATACAATGAGCTAAAGATAGTTTATGCGGTAAATGGTGTTGGGGAAATTGGACAGATATGTGCAGAAAAATGAAACTAGACCACCTTCTTACACCACACACAAGAATAAATTCAAAATGGATCAAATATTAGACCTGGAACCATAAAAAGCAGAAGAAAACATAGACAACAAAATCTTGGACATTGCTTGTAGCAGTATTTTACCAGCTATGTGTCCCTGGGTGAGGGAAACAAAAGAAAAAATAAAATCAAACTAAAAAATTTTTGCACAGCAAAGGAGAACATTAACAAAATAAAAAGACAACCCACCGATACATCTGATAAAGAGTTAATATCCAAAATTTATATAGAACTCATAGTTTTGATTGGATCAAAAAACTATGGTACATTTACACAATGGAATACTATGCAGAAGAAAGGAAAAAAGAACTACTGAACTTCGCGATGGCATGGATGGAACTGGAGAGCATTATGCTAAGCGAAATAAGCCAGGAGATGAAAGACAAATACCATATGATGTCACCTATAAGCGAAACCTAACCAACAATACAAAGATGCAAGGAAAATAAGACCAGCAACACTGAAAAGAAACCAACAGACACAAGAGGTGGCGGGGGGGAGGGAGGAAGAGGAAGGGAATGGGAGGGTTGGGGAACGTGTAGCAAGGTCTCATGGACAAAACCAAATGGGAAGAATGGAGGGAGGGAGGGGGAGGGGTCAGGGAAAGGTGGTGAGGGGTAGGCAGAGACAAATGTATTTGAAAAAATAAAGAAAATAAATTTTAAAAAAAAAACAGTAAAAAAAAAAATAAGAAAAACAACCCAGTTAAAAATGGGCAAAGGACTTGAATAGACACTGCTCCAAAGAGGACACACAGAAGGCCAATAGACATGTGAAAAGATGCTCAACATCGCTAATCACTAATCATCAGAGAAATGTAAATTAAAACCACAATGATATATCATCTTACACCTGTCAGAATGGCTATCATCAGTAAATCAACAAACAAGTGCTGGTGAGGATGTGGAGAAAGGGAAACCCTTTTGCACTGTTGGTGGGAATGCAGAATGATGCAGCCACTGTGAGAAGCAGTATGGAGATACCTCAAATAATTAAAAATAGATCTGCCTTTTGAACCACTTCTGGAACATGTATCTGAAGGAACCCAAAACACTAATTCAAAACAACATAAGTACCCCTATGTTTATTGCAGCATTATTTACAATGACCAAGATATGGAAGAAGCCTAAGTGTCCACCAGTAGATGAGTGGACAAAACAACTATGGGACATTTACATTTATACAATGGAATACTACTTGGCCATAAAAAGAAAAAATTTTACTCTTTGCAACAGTATGGATGGACATGGAGAACATTATGCTAAGTGAAATAAGCCAGTCAGAGAAAGAACAATACCATATGGTTTCACTCATATGTGGAATCTCATGAACAAACTGAACAACCAAGCATTAAGTAGAGACAGACTCATAGATAGCAGGATGACAGCTGGGGCTCAGGGGGAGGTTAAAGGATGGAGGGATTGAGCAAAAATGAAAAAGGACTCCTAGACATGGACAACAGTGTGGTGATTGCTGGGGGGCGGGGGATATAAGGAGACTAAATGGAAATGGAAAAAAATACAATAAAATTTTTTTTCAAATACAAGAAAAGTATCTTATGATTTAAGTGGCTTGATGTTTCAGGAATATTACTCTTTTTAACCTCTTTGATGACAGTTTGGGATATTTCAGGGTGCTTTCCAGAGATTGCTAATAGTTGTGGGTTTTCACCCTGTATAACTTTTTGCTCATGTACTGCCACCACTATCACTCTGACACTGTACTATGGGTCTAGGTGTGGCATCACATTTAGGATATGTACATTGATCTTCTCTGGAAAAAGATCTTGTCAGAAAGCACAGTATCCTGCTTGTTTCTTTGACGCTTACTTTATATTCCTTTATAGTTGGATTCTTAATCTTGGACAAGTTTGAGTGTTTGAATGGAAGTACTTGAATACAAGATGTTGCTGGAACTTCTTTTACAATATAGTTTTATTTTATAATGAAACATCTTGAAATAAACAAAAAATATTGATTTACCTACTTTTATGTAATTTTGTCTGAAATGTTTTCTCTTTTGTGCTTTCTCAGGTAGTGATTTTTATTTCTTTAAAAATGTTTTAACTGTCATGTATTTTTGATACAGATAAATACAGAGGAACATGTGGATGCGAGCGATCAGGAAGTTATCTTATGGGATCATAAAATTCCTGAGGACATCCTGAAGGAAATAGCCACCCCTAAAGAGGTGCCAGCAGAAAGTGTTACTGTCTGGATCGACCCACTTGATGCTACACAGGAGTATACAGGTAATTTTAAAATTAAAATTGATCTTAAACGTCAGATTGCCACTGTGTATCAGAGAACCACTATATATATAGTGGTAGATATTATATCAATCTCAGGCAACTTTTCCATTAGATTTTAAGACAGAGAGCTGGATTAAGGCAGTGTTGTATGAACCATTTGCACTATGTTCCCAACATCATCCCCAACCAGTGTATTTATGCCATACTCTAACGGTGATAGTGGCTCATTATGTCACTAATTATTCAGTGAAGGGAAGTTTTAGCAGTTACAGATAAATGGTTTGTATTTGACATCTATTTATTGAGGTGTTTGTGTATATACTGAGGTATGTGTTAATGAGTTATTTATGTAGTCGGAATATAATATTTATCTGTGATAGTGGAAATTTTGATTTTATTGCATATACATCTATCTATGGAATTCAAAGTAGTAAACCCTGGTCACCCAGAGAACAAGTAATTAGCAAAACAGAAAATTACCTCCCTATCCTTTACTTTCATTCTTTTTACCTAGTCTTAGTTTAGATTTGAATTCTGTGGATCCTCTCCCATGCCTTGTTTCTTACCCAGAGATATCTAATTCATACCTTTCCTCTGTTCTTTTATATATATGTTAAAGATGGTTGCTTACATATTTGTCTCTCTCCTAGATGGTAAGTTCTCTGAATATGGAGACTTCTCCTTTGTCACCTCGGTATTCTAGTGCTTAAGCACTGAGCTTGACCCTTAATAGATACTCATGGTAACTAATTGGAGAACAAGGAGAAGACACTAGATTGCATATCTAGTAGTAACTGAAATTATAAAACAGTATTTTGCAGGAGTAGATAATAGAAATATAGAATATTAAGTGGTTTGTTTATAAAAAGTTTTTCCTAAACTGAGATTGGCCTAATCATATTATAGTGATAATATTTAGTGAGCAAATCCTTTGTGCAGAGACTGTTCTAAGTACTTACTTGATTTTTTAATTTAATAGTAAAATTAAAAATTATTTTAATATTTTAAAGTGGGTACTGAATTCATGCCTGTATTTTACAAATGAAGAAACTGAATGTAAATAATTTGCTCAAAGAAATGCAGCTAATAAAATGGTAGACTGGGGTGATAACCCAGGTTTATTGCTTACAAAACCAAAACTCAACTACTTCCTTAAACTGATTCTCATTGCTAGACTCTGTTTGCTTGAGGGGATTGTTGATTATGAAAGACATTTTATAAAATGCACATGCATTTTTAATGAAATAAAGTATAACAATGTACCCTGAATTTACATATGTTTCTTTTACAATTGTGTGTGTTATTTCTCATAGAGGATCTTCGAAAGTATGTCACTACTATGGTTTGTGTGGCTGTAAATGGTAAACCTGTCCTAGGAGTAATACATAAGCCATTTTCTGAATATACAGGTAAGAAATAAGTTAGAGCAAGAGTTACTGTTATTAAATCATTTGTCTATAATACTGTCCTGTCCGAATCTCAACTGTAGGTCAGTAATTATTAAGAGTCATTCCCTTACCCTACCTTACCTCTTCACTGGATACAGGGAGGATTTTATTGTTGGCACTCAGAATACATGACAGCAGGGCTTTCTAAACTTTCTTTAGAGGAAAGCAACTGTTTAATGAAAATGAGAAATTCTTAGTGTATTGAGGAATACTACTGGTATGAACTCCCCAGCAGCTGTCTGTCTCTGCCATGCTGTTGCTGGGGATAAGGTCCAGGGCTCTTAAACACTGGATTTTGTGTGGATTTTGGTGGATACTCTAAACTGGTCTTAGCAAAATCCATTGTCATAGCAGGAAATGAGCTTGATCGTAGGTGGTTAAGGGCATGTTATGGTGCCATTTTGACGCTGACAACTGCAGCATTGAAAATGGATGGTGTCACTGTCAAAGTATTAAAAATCAGGCCAATTCCTTTGTAGCGCTGGTTGCTCTTCAGCATTCCCTTCTGACCCTTGCTTCCTTACCTTCTGAATGCAGTCATATTTGTTAGCTTCCTACACATAGCAGGCCAGATCCTTGATTGTGTGGGAGTGAGAGTATGGAAGAGCACACCAAAGAGCTTCGCATTTAGTTTAGGAGTGACCTTGCTCAAAGCCTCCCCAAAGCATTTTGGTATCACTGCAGCTGTTATGCTTTAGTATGCCTGCCTAGAGGGGCTAGCCGTGGTCTTCTGGGTAGCAGTGATGGCATGGATTGTGGTCACAAGTCCACAATTATACCACGAGTTGTCATAGTGGAGAAGTTGAGGGAAACAATTACTGGTATAAGCAATATTGCTAATAGTCTGAAGGGAATTGTTATATATTTCGTTGGTAACTCCCTAACTCCCTTCAAAACTGTGAGGCAAAGATCATGCTCTTTGGTCTCCACCATTCTCCAAGATGATGAGCTTCTTGATGGTGACAGTATCGTCTTGCCAGTGTTGAAAGTAGCCCTACTAATCAGGTGTAGTGGGTTAGATAGTATCCCCATCAATTCATGTCTACCACTATAGTATTAGTTTCCTAGGTCTACCATAAAAAACCCCACAAACTATGTGTCTTTAAACAAATTTATCTTTGACAGTGTCGGAGGCTAGAAGTTCAAAATCAAGGCGTTGATAGAGCTATGCTCTCTCAGACCTGTAGAGCAGAATCCTTCTATGTTTTTCTCTTAGCTCTTGATAGTGTGTCCATGGTGTTCCTTTGCTTTGTAAACACATCACTCCAATCCCTGCCTCCATCATCTCTTGGCATTCTCCCTGTGTTTCTGTGACTCTGTCTCGTCTTTCCTTGTACAGACACCAGTCGTTGGATGAAGAGCCTTGCCTACTCCAGCATGACCTCATCTTAACTACTTACATTTGTAAGGACCTTGTTTCCAAATAAGGTCCATGTGAAGTGCTGGGGGTTAGGACTTGAAGGTATCTTTTGGGGGATCAAAAAATAGTCCATAACAGTGTGGATTTCCAAGTGCGGCCTTATTCGGAAATAAGATCTTTGCAGATGTAATTAAGGTAAATATCTAGATGAGATCATCCTGGATTAAGGTCAGCCCTTAAACCAATGAGAGTGTCTTTATAAGAAAGAGAATACACAGACACACAGGGAATAAGTGATGTGAAGGTGGAGACAGGGATTGTAGTGATGCATATAAGCCAGGGAACACCAAGAGTGCCAGCAGTCACCAGAAGCTGGAAGAGAGGCTGAAATGGATTCTCCCTTAGACCATTCAAGGAACAAACCCTGCCAACATCTTGATTTGTAACATCTGTCCTCAAATCAAGACTGAGAAAATAAATTTCTCCCGCTGTAAACACCAAGTTTGTGGTAGTTTGTTACAGCAGCTCTAGGAAACCAATACACCAGCCATCCCTATAATTTCTTGTTTACTCCAGCATCCCTTCTGTGTCTCAGTTATGTGGCTGACACTGCATAAAAAGACTGTGAAGTGGAGAGAAATAGAGACAAGGTTAAGTTTGATTACTCTAAATTTATTTGCTTTGCAGAGTATCCGTGTATCCCCAATTGGTTCGTTCTAAGATAGGCTAAACATATGACTATTGGTTCTGCATTTCAAAACCAAACCTTCTTTGTGGAATCTGATGTTTTATCTCATTTTAATAATTCAAATAGTTTTTAATATTGACAGTTTGATGAGCACAAAAGTTTTATGTTATTGCTGTGATAATGTGCCTCAAGATTAATTATAAGCAGATCAGGGCAGCCACAACAGCTTCCTGTACCAGGCACACTGACCATTCTCTTTTTGTTTTGCTTTGCTAAAAATTGTTTCCCTTTTTTGCATGACTAAGGACGGCTCACTGCTTCACATTTCACCAGCGAAGAGGGTAAAAAGGGAGACTTGAAGGACATTTCACACTGAGGGTTTGATCTATAAGTTTCACACATCAGCTCACATCCCGTTGATCAAAACACAGCCTCAAAGGAGGCTAAGAAATGTAGTTATTTCATTGTCCATGCAAACTAAAATTCAGGGATTCTTGCACTCAGGGAAAATAGTAAAAATGCATATTTGGAGTATAATTTAGCAGTACTCCTACACCCAATATAGCTCATTAGTGAGGGGCACAATTACAATTATTGTTCCTACTTAGAGATAAGAAAATTGAGACTCAGAAAATTGATACATTTCTTAAGCTTATACATCTAAATGAGAAGAAGAATCAACCAGGAATATTAGGTAAATCAGGGTAGCACATCACTTTTATAATAATAATTCCGTGATTCCTTAACATTTGTATAACATTGGGTCGGCCAAAAAGTTTATTTAGTTTTTTTGTAAAATAAAAGACACATTTCTAATTTTCACCAATAACTTTATTGATTTGGATATTTTGTGTATGTTGGCTCTTTTCCCACATGGTATAATGTTGATTGTTCTCAATTAGTGTCTTGATTTGATCACTGTCAACTTTAGATGGTCTGTCCGACCATGGAGCATCATCCAGCAAGAAGTCTCTAGCATGATACTTCACAAACTACTTCTGACAGAGTCAGTCACAGCACCTTCTCCATACACTGCACAAATCTTTTTTTTTTGCCTTCCAGTTGCATTTTTACCTTCCTTGAAATAATGAAGCATAATATTCCAAAAACATTGCATATCTTCCATCTTTAATATTAAAATAGCTACACAAAAATTCACCAATTTTGGTAAGTTTTTTTAAAATGCACACTGATATATGATAGTTATCTCAGTACAGTCTAACAAAATTGTTTCAAATGAAGTAAGAGACAGCAAAGTACTACTAAAGCCATCCTACGGAAATAAACCAATATTTATTTGTTTAAATGTTAAACCAATTTTTGGCCAACCCAATATTTAGCAATTTGCTATATACATAATGTTAATCACATTTGAATCTTTTTTTTTAATTCTTTTCTTTCATGGTTTTATTTATTAATTTTGCTTTTACATTTTTACTTATTTTTTAATTGCAGTGGACATATAATGTTATTAGTTTCAGGTCCTACCACAGTGATGAGACATTATTTAACTTATTAAGTGATCATCGTGATAAATCTTGTACCCATCTGACACCACACATAGTTATTACAATATTACTGACTATATTCCCTATGCTGTATTTTATGTCCTCATGACTATTCTGTAACTACCAATTTGTACTTCATAATCCCTTCACCTTTTTCACGCATCATCCCCCAACTACCCTCCTATCTGGCAACTGTCAAAATGTTCTCTGTATTTATGAGTCGGTTTCTATTCTGCTTATTGGTTTATTTTGTTTTTTAGATTCAATTGTTGATAGATATGTATTTATTGCCATTTTATTCATATTTTTATCTTTTTTTTCCTTATTAAAGAAGACCTTTTAATATTTCAAGTAATACTGGTTTGGTGAAAACGAATGCATTTAGCTTTTCCTGTCTGGGAAGCTCTTTATATGTCCCTCAATTCTAAATGATAGCTTTGCTGGATAGAGTAAACTTGGTTGTAGATCCCTGCGTTTTATCATCTTGAATATTTCTTGCCATTCCCTCCTTGCCTGCAAAAGTTTCTGTTGAGTAATCAGCTGTGAGACTTATGGGCGCTCTCTTGTAAGCAACCAACTGCTTTACTCTTGCTGCCTTTAAGATTCTTTGTCTTTAATCTTTTGCATTTTAATTATGATGTATCTTGGTGGAGTCCTCTTTGTTCAACTTATTTGAGCCTCTCTATTCTTCTTGGACTTGTATGTCTATTTCCTTCACCAGGTTAGGGAAGTTTTCTGCCATTATTTTTTCAAATAGGTTTTTAATTTTTTGCTTTATTCTACTGGTATCCTCATTTTGTGAATATTGGTATGCTTCAAGTTGTACCAGAGGCTCCTTACACTATTATCAATTTTTTGGATTCTTCTTTTTGCTGTTCTGATTGGGTATTTTTGCTTCCTTATACTCCAAATTGCTATTTTGATTCTTGGCTTATCTACTGCTGATTCCCTGATTCTTCATTTCAGTTAGTGCATTCTTAATTTCTGATTGGTCTTTTTTTTTTATGGTTTCCATGTCTTATTTTATGCTGTTGAAGTTCTCTATAAGTTCATCTACTCTTTCCCTAAGTACATTGAGCATTCATATAACCAGTTTTTTGAACTCTGTATCTATAGTAAATTGCTTGTCTCTATTTTTAGTTCTTTTTCTGGAGTTTTGTTTTGTTCTTTCATTTGGGACATGTTTGTCTCCTTATTTTGACAGCTTCCCTATGTTTGTTTCTATGTATTAGGTAGAGCTACTGTGTCTCCTGGGCTTGGTAGAGTGGCCTAACGTAATAGGTGTCCTGTAGAGTCCAGGGGCACAGCCTCCCGATCACCCAGGCTGGGTACTCTAGATGCACCCTCCAACGCCCCTCTACGGGCTATGTACACCTTCCTGTTGTAGTTGAGCCATTGATTGCTG